GAGACCAGAGGGAGACCAGAGGGAGACCAGAGGGAGACCAGAGAGAGAGACCAGCGAGAGAGAGACCAGCGAGAGAGACCAGCGGGAGAGACCAGCGGGAGAGACCAGCGGGAGAGACCAGAGGGAGAGACCAGAGGGAGAGAGACCAGAGGGAGAGAGACCAGAGGGAGAGAGACCAGAGGGAGAGAGACCAGAGGGAGAGAGACCAGAGGGAGAGACCAGAGGGAGAGACCAGAGGGAGAGACCAGAGGGAGAGACCAGAGGGAGAGACCAGAGGGAGAGACCAGAGGGAGAGACCAGAGGGAGAGACCATATATATTGTGTGCAGGTTCCTGAGCCCTGAGTTCGTTCCTCCGCGTCAGAGAACTGATCCTCTGAAGTTCTCGATGGAACGTAAAGACATGATTCGCCGTCGGAAGGTTCTGGACATCCCAGAGTTCTATGCAGGTGGGCCGCAAACATGTCACGTGCTGCTCTCCACTGTCGCCGTGGGAACGAGGTGTAGATTTAATGGTCTAAAGCTGAAACCCTCCTCCTCCACAGGGAGCATCGTCGCCGTGACGACGTCCGACTCCGACGCCAACGGGAAAAACAAGCGCTTTGTGGGAATCTGCATTCACAGAGGAGGCTCCGGGCTGGGCGCCACGTTCATACTGCGCAACATCATCGACAACCAAGGTGAGAAACCCTCCCCAGCCGAGGTGAGAAACCCTCCCCAGCCGAGGTGAGAAACCCTCCACAGCCAAGATGTGAAACATGCTGGTCGTGTGTGCAGGGGTGAGGGATGTGAACACATGTTGGTCGTGTGTGCAGGGGTGAGGGATGTGAACACATGCTGGTCCTGTGTGCAGGGGTGAGGGATGTGAACACATGTAGGTCCTGTGTGCAGGGGTGAGGGATGTGAACACATGTTGGTCCTGTGTGCAGGGGTGAGGGATGTGAACACATGCTGGTCCTGTGTGCAGGGGTGAGGGATGTGAACACATGTTGGTCCTGTGTGCAGGGGTGAGGGATGTGAACACATGCTGGTCCTGTGTGCAGGGGTGAGGGATGTGAACACATGTTGGTCCTGTGTGCAGGGGTGAGGGATGTGAACACATGCTGGTCCTTTGTGTAGGGGTGAGGGATGTGAACACATGCTGGTCCTGTGTGCAGGGGTGAGGGATGTGAACACATGCTGGTCCTGTGTGCAGGGGTGAGGGATGTGAACACATGCTGGTCCTGTGTGCAGGGGTGAGGGATGTGAACACATGCTGGTCCTGTGTGCAGGGGTGAGGGATGTGAACACATGCTGGTCCTGTGTGCAGGGGTGAGGGATGTGAACACATGCTGGTCCTGTGTGCAGGGGTGAGGGATGTGAACACATGTTGGTCCTGTGTGCAGGGGTGAGGGATGTGAACACATGCTGGTCCTGTGTGCAGGGGTGAGGGATGTGAACACATGCTGGTCCTGTGTGCAGGGGTGAGGGATGTGAACACATGTTGGTCCTGTGTGCAGGGGTGAGGGATGTGAACACATGTTGGTCCTGTGTGCAGGGGTGAGGGATGTGAACACATGTTGGTCCTGTGTGCAGGGGTGAGGGATATGAACACATGTTGGTCCTGTGTGCAGGGGTGAGGGATGTGAACACATGTTGGTCCTGTGTGCAGGGGTGAGGGATGTGAACACATGTTGGTCCTGTGTGCAGGGGTGAGGGATGTGAACACATGTTGGTCCTGTGTGCAGGGGTGAGGGATGTGAACACATGCTGGTCCTGTGTGCAGGGGTGAGGGATGTGAACACATGCTGGTCCTGTGTGCAGGGGTGAGGGATGTGAACACATGTTGGTCCTGTGTGCAGGGGTGAGGGATGTGAACACATGCTGGTCCTGTGTGCAGGGGTGAGGGATGTGAACACATGTTGGTCCTGTGTGCAGGGGTGAGGGATGTGAACACATGTTGGTCCTGTGTGCAGGGGTGAGGGATGTGAACACATGTTGGTCCTGTGTGCAGGGGTGAGGGATGTGAACACATGTTGGTCCTGTGTGCAGGGGTGAGGGATGTGAACACATGTTGGTCCTGTGTGCAGGGGTGAGGGATGTGAACACATGCTGGTCCTGTGTGCAGGGGTGAGGGATGTGAACACATGCTGGTCCTGTGTGCAGGGGTGAGGGATGTGAACACATGTTGGTCCTGTGTGCAGGGGTGAGGGATGTGAACACATGCTGGTCCTGTGTGCAGGGGTGAGGGATGTGAACACATGTTGGTCCTGTGTGCAGGGGTGAGGGATGTGAACACATGTTGGTCCTGTGTGCAGGGGTGAGGGATGTGAACACATGTTGGTCCTGTGTGCAGGGGTGAGGGATGTGAACACATGCTGGTCCTGTGTGCAGGGGTGAGGGATGTGAACACATGCTGGTCCTGTGTGCAGGGGTGAGGGATGTGAACACATGCTGGTCCTGTGTGCAGGGGTGAGGGATGTGAACACATGCTGGTCCTGTGTGCAGGGGTGAGGGATGTGAACACATGCTGGTCCTGTGTGCAGGGGTGAGGGATGTGAACACATGCTGGTCCTGTGTGCAGGGGTGAGGGATGTGAACACATGTTGGTCCTGTGTGCAGGGGTGAGGGATGTGAACACATGCTGGTCCTGTGTGCAGGGGTGAGGGATGTGAACACATGTTGGTCTTGTGTGCAGGGGTGAGGGATGTGAACACATGCTGGTCCTGTGTGCAGGGGTGAGGGATGTGAACACATGTTGGTCTTGTGTGCAGGGGTGAGGGATGTGAACACATGCTGGTCCTGTGTGCAGGGGTGAGGGATGTGAACACATGTTGGTCCTGTGTGCAGGGGTGAGGGATGTGAACACATGCTGGTCCTGTGTGCAGGGGTGAGGGATGTGAACACATGCTGGTCCTGTGTGCAGGGGTGAGGGATGTGAACACATGTTGGTCCTGTGTGCAGGGGTGGAGGTCTGCTTTGAGCTCTACAGTCCTCTGATCCAGACCCTGGAGGTCCTGAAGCTGGAGCGGCGTCTGGACCAGAGCCTCCTGTACCTCAGGGACGCTCTCCCGGACTACAGCACCGTGGACCCGGACATGAGGCCTGTGCCCGCCCCCCCCACCGGGGACCCGCCCCTCAACAAGGTACTGACCTGTCCCTGTGATACCCTGACCTGTCCCTGTGATACCCTGACCTGTATCTGGTGATACCCTGACCTGTATCTGGTGATACCCTGACCTGTCCCGGTGATACCCTGACCTGTATCCGGTGATACCCTGGCCTGTCCCTGTGATACCCTGACCTGTATCTGGTGATACCCTGACCTGTCCCTGTGATACCCTGACCTGTATCCGGTGATACCCTGACCTGTATCCGGTGATACCCTGACCTGTATCTGGTGATACCCTGACCTGTCCCTGTGATACCCTGACCTGTCCCTGTGATACCCTGACCTGTATCCGGTGATACCCTGACCTGTCCCTGTGATACCCTGACCTGTATCCGGTGATACCCTGACCTGTCCCTGTGATACCCTGACCTGTCCCTGTGATACCCTGACCTGTATCTGGTGATACCCTGACCTGTATCCGGTGATACCCTGACCTGTATCTGTGATACCCTGACCTGTCCCTGTGATACCCTGACCTGTCCATGTGATACCCTGACCTGTCCCTGTGATACCCTGACCTGTCCCTGTGATACCCTGACCTGTATCTGGTGATACCCTGACCTGTCCCTGTGATACCCTGACCTGTATCCGGTGATACCCTGACCTGTCCCTGTGATACCCTGACCTGTATCCGGTGATACCCTGACCTGTATCTGGTGATACCCTGACCTGTATCTGTGATACCCTGACCTGTCCCTGTGATACCCTGACCTGTCCCTGTGATACCCTGACCTGTCCCTGTGATACCCTGACCTGTCCATGTGATACCCTGACCTGTCCCTGTGATACCCTGACCTGTCCATGTGATACCCTGACCTGTCCCTGTGATACCCTGACCTGTCCCTGTGATACCCTGACCTGTCCCTGTGATACCCTGACCTGTATCTGGTGATACCCTGACCTGTCCCTGTGATACCCTGACCTGTATCCGGTGATACCCTGACCTGTCCCTGTGATACCCTGACCTGTATCCGGTGATACCCTGACCTGTCCCTGTGATACCCTGACCTGTATCTGGTGATACCCTGACCTGTCCCTGTGATACCCTGACCTGTCCCGGTGATACCCTGACCTGTATCCGGTGATACCCTGACCTGTCCCTGTGATACCCTGACCTGTATCCGGTGATACCCTGGCCTGTCCCTGTGATACCCTGACCTGTATCTGGTGATACCCTGACCTGTCCCTGTGATACCCTGACCTGTCCCTGTGATACCCTGACCTGTCCCTGTGATACCCTGACCTGTCCCTGTGATACCCTGACCTGTCCCTGTGATACCCTGACCTGTCCCTGTGATACCCTGACCTGTATCCGGTGATACCCTGACCTGTCCCTGTGATACCCTGACCTGTATCCGGTGATACCCTGACCTGTCCCTGTGATACCCTGACCTGTATCCGGTGATACCCTGGCCTGTCCCTGTGATACCCTGACCTGTCCCTGTGATACCCTGACCTGTCCCTGTGATACCCTGACCTGTCCCTGTGATACCCTGACCTGTCCCTGTGATACCCTGACCTGTATCCGGTGATACCCTGGCCTGTCCCTGTGATACCCTGACCTGTATCCGGTGATACCCTGGCCTGTCCCTGTGATACCCTGACCTGTCCCTGTGATACCCTGACCTGTATCTGGTGATACCCTGACCTGTCCCCGTGATACCCTGGCCTGTCCCTGTGATACCCTGACCTGTCCCTGTGATACCCTGACCTGTATCTGGTGATACCCTGACCTGTCCCCGTGATACCCTGACCTGTCCCTGTGATACCCTGACCTGTCCCTGTGATACCCTGACCTGTATCCTGTGATACCCTGACCTGTATCTGGTGATACCCTGACCTGTATCTGGTGATACCCTGACCTGTCCCTGTGATACCCTGACCTGTCCCTGTGATACCCTGACCTGTCCCTGTGTTTCAGCTGAAGGTGAGGATGCGTCCCAAGCCGTGGTCCAAGCGCTGGGAGCGGCCCAAATACGGCGTGGCGGGGATCGCCTTCGAGCAGATCCTGAGCCCCGAGAAACTGGAGCACGCTCAGAAGTGGGCACAGCCCTGGCTCGAGTACGACATGCTCCGAGAGTACGACACCTCCCACATCCAGCAGGAGATCCTCCAGGAGCTACGGGAGGAGAGTGGACAGCAGGAGATCCTCCAGGAGCTACGGGAGGAGAGTGGACAGTAGGAGATCCTCCAGGAGCTACGGGAGGAGAGTGGACAGCAGGAGATCCTCCAGGAGCTACATTATTGACTGAGATGTAGTTAGCTATAGTCTCTGGTCTCGCTCTGGTCTCGCTCTGGTCTCGCTCTGGTCTCGCTCTGGTCTCGCTCTGGTCTCGCTCTGGTCTCGCTCTGGTCTCTCTCTGGTGGTCTCTCTCTGGTCTCTCTCTCTGGTCTCTCTCTGGTCTCTCACTGGTTTCTCTCTCTGGTCGCTCTCTCTGGTCTGTCTCTGGCCTCTCTTTGGTCTCGCTCTGGTCTCGCTCTGGTCTCGCTCTGGTCTCGCTCTGGTCTCTCTCTGGTTTCTCTCTCTGGTCTCTCTCTGGTCTCTCTCTCTGGTCTCTCTCTGGTGGTCTCTCTCTCTGGTCTCTCTCTGGTGGTCTCTCTCTCTGGTCTCTCTCTCTGGTCTCTCTCTCTGGTCTCTCTCTGGTGGTCTCTCTCTCTGGTCTCTCTCTGGTGGTCTCTCTCTCTGGTCTCTCTCTGGTCTCTCTCTGGTCTCTCTCTGGTCTCGCTCTGGTCTCGCTCTGGTCTCTCTCTCTGTCTCTCTCTCTGGTCTCTCTCTCTGGTCTCTCTCTCTGATCTCTCTCTGGTCTCGCTCTGGTCTCGCTCTGGTCTCGCTCTGGTCTCGCTCTGGTCTCGCTCTGGTCTCTCTCTGGTCTCTCTCTCTGGTCTCTCTCTCTGGTCTCTCTCTGGTCTCTCTCTGGTCTCTCACTGGTTTCTCTCTCTGGTCGCTCTTTCTGGTCGCTCTCTCTGGTCTCTCTCTCTGATCTCTCTCTGGTCTCGCTCTGGTCTCGCTCTGGTCTTGCTCTGGTCTCTCTCTGGTCTCTCTCTGGTCTCTCTCTGGTGGTCTCTCTCTCTGGTCTCTCTCTGGTGGTCTCTCTCTCTGGTCTCTCTCTGGTCTCTCTCTGGTGGTCTCTCTCTCTGGTCTCTCTCTGGTGGTCTCTCTCTCTGGTCTCTCTCTCTGGTCTCTCTCTGGTCTCTCTCTGGTGGTCTCTCTCTCTGGTCTCTCTCTGGTGGTCTCTCTCTCTGGTCTCTCTCTGGTCCCTCTCTCTGGTCTCTCTCTCTGGTCTCTCTCTCTGGTCTCTCTCTCTGGTCTCTCTCTCTGGTCTCTCTCTGGTCTCGCTCTGGTCTTGTCTATTTTGTAAATACAAATATAAACTGATGGTTTTGTCTTTCCCATTGTCAGTGTGTGTTGCTCTTTCTGCTGTTGTGTACCTTGTGTTGCAACACTGATATTTCTCTGAGACTGAAGCGTCTCGTCTTCATCTTCCACAGTTAAAGGTTTATATCAAAGACCATTGGTCCTCCCACCTGTATATCATTCTGCTGCTCGTCCAATAAGATCAGAGTTTGGTGCAGAGGGCGGTTCTTTCCTAAAATCTGGAAAACCCTTTAAACGACAGCACAGGGACACGCAGACAAACGACAGCACAGGGACACGCAGACAAACGACAGCACAGGGACACGCAGACAAACGAACAACGACAGCACAGGGACACGCAAACAAACGACAGCACAGGGACACGCAGACAAACGACAGCACAGGGACACGCAGACAAACGACAGCACAGGGACACGCAGACAAACGACAGCACAGGGACACGCAAACAAACGACAGCACAGGGACACGCAGACAAACGACAGCACAGGGACACGCAGACAAACGACAGCACAGGGACACGCAGACAAACGACAGCACAGGGACACGCAGACAAACGACAGCACAGGGACACGCAGACAAACGACAGCACAGGGACACGCAGACAAACGACAGCACAGGGACACGCAGACAAACGACAGCACAGGGACACGCAGACAAACGACAGCACAGGGACACGCAAACAAACGACAGCACAGGGACACGCAGACAAACGACAGCACAGGGACACGCAAACAAACGACAGCACAGGGACACGCAGACAAACGACAGCACAGGGACACGCAGACAAACGACAGCACAGGGACACGCAGACAAACGACAGCACAGGGACACGCAGACAAACGACAGCACAGGGACACGCAGACAAACGACAGCACAGGGACACGCAGACAAACGACAGCACAGGGACACGCAGACAAACGACAGCACAGGGACACGCAACAAACGGACAGCACAGGGACACGCAAACAAACGACAGCACAGGGACACGCAGACAAACGACAGCACAGGGACACGCAGACAAACGACAGCACAGGGACACGCAGACAAACGACAGCACAGGGACACGCAGACAAACGACAGCACAGGGACACGCAGACAAACGACAGCACAGGGACACGCAAACAAACGACAGCACAGGGACACGCAGACAAACGACAGCACAGGGACACGCAGACAAACGACAGCACAGGGACACGCAGACAAACGACAGCACAGGGACACGCAGACAAACGACAGCACAGGGACACGCAGACAAACGACAGCACAGGGACACGCAGACAAACGACAGCACAGGGACACGCAGACAAACGACAGCACAGGGACACGCAGACAAACGACAGCACAGGGACACGCAGACAAACGACAGCACAGGGACACGCAGACAAACGACAGCACAGGGACACGCAGACAAACGACAGCACAGGGACACGCAGACAAACGACAGCACAGGGACACGCAGACAAACGACAGCACAGGGACACGCAGACAAACGACAGCACAGGGACACGCAGACAAACGACAGCACAGGGACACGCAGACAAACGACAGCACAGGGACACGCAGACAAACGACAGCACAGGGACACGCAAACAAACAGCACAGGGACACGCAGACAAACGACAGCACAGGGACACGCAAACAAACAGCACAGGGACACGCAAACAAACAGCACAGGGACACGCAAACAAACAGCACAGGGACACAAACAAACGACAGCACAGGGACACACAAACAAACGACAGCACAGGGACCCGCAAACAAAAGCATTCCTCTAACCTTCAGACTAACGAGGAGCTCAGTCTCAGTAAAGTCAGCGACAGTCGAGCAAAAACTCACCGTTTCCTCTGTGTCCGAGTTTAGTTAGAAACAGCCACAGGTACAAACCCTGGGGGTTCTGAGTCTGGGACCATTGGGGGTTCTGAGTCTGGGACCATTGGGGGTTCTGAGTCTGGGACCATTGGGGGTTCTGGGTCTGGGACCATTGGGGGTTCTGAGTCTGGGACCATTGGGGGTTCTGAGTCTGGGACCATTGGGGGTTCTGAGTCTGGGACCATTGGGGGTTCTGGGTCTGGGACCATTGGGGGTTCTGGGTCTGGGACCATTGGGGGTTCTGAGTCTGGGACCATTGGGGGTTCTGAGTCTGGGACCATTGGGGGTTCTGGGTCTGGGACCATTGGGGGTTCTGGGTCTGGGACCATTGGGGGTTTCGGATCTGGAACCAGACAGCAGGTAACTAAACTCTTCATGAAGAGGTTAAGCCTCATTACCCAGAATCCTCAGAGCCTTGTCACCTGACCAGTGAACAGCTCAGAGGAGTCAGGTTTACTATTCTGCTGAGGTCAACAAACCCACTCTCCAGAGGCAGAACCTTTCTTACACAGAACATCTGTGTTTTCAGTGAAGTTCAGCCTGTTGTCCATCCGTGTCCCAGATACTGTAACTCTGGACGAGCTCCGCCCTTTGACCTTTGAACCCCGTGGCGTGAGGTGATAATCCACACACATGTGTGCAGTCTTTACTTTAATCACATTTGGCAGAATTCATATATTTATTAAACACTGAACATTGTTGAGGACTCCTGCTGTTTCTGTGATGATGATGATGATGATGGAGGCTTCTGTAGAACCTGCACTTCTGATCTCTGCCACAGGGAGGCGCTGCTGCTCCACACCTACAGTATTACTCTGCTTTAGAACTAAAGCTGGAGGTAATAGTAACGTGATAAATATGTTTAATATGAATGAAAATGGCGGGAGAACAAATGTTAGTGATAATAATAATAATAATACAGTAAATACAAGTATTGGGCGGCACGGTGGCTGAGTGGATAGCACTCTCGCCTCTCAGCAAGAAGGTCCTGGGTTCGAATCCCGGCCGGACCAGGGCCTTTCTGAGTGGAGTTTGCATGTTCTCCTCGTGTCTGCGTAGGTTTCCTCCGGGTACTCCGGTTTCCCCTACCACTAAAAATATGTCCAATAGTTCTGGCATGTGCCTCCTGTTCTGGCCCCGCTCCCATCTCTGTGTGGAGTGAGAGGACAAGGGCCCATAAAATAATAACAATTGTAAACCGCTTTGTGACTCTGGTCTGTGAAAGGCGGTATATAAATAAAGCTTACTTACTTACTTACTATTAATAATGAATAGTATTTATTTAAGTATTTATTTATGTATATCATATGGACATAATAACTTTGGACAAATGCTGTGCGTTTTAGAACACAAGATACAATACAATTTACACATGAGACCAACCTCCCTCCTCTTCTCTCTCTCTCCTCTTCTCTCTCCTTCCTCCTCCTCCTCTCCTCCCTCCTCCTCCTCTCTCTCCTCCTCCTCTTCTCTCTCTCCTCCTCCTCTTCTCTCTCCTCCTCTTCTCTCTCTCTCCTCCTCTCTCTCTCCTCCTCCTCTTCTCTCCCTCCTCTTCTCTCTCTCCTCCTCTTCTTCTCTCCTCCTCTTCTCTCCTCCTCCTCTTCTCTCTCTCCTCCTCTTCTCTCTCTCCTCCTCTTCTCTCTCCTTCCTCCTCCTCCTCTCTCTCCTCCCTCCTCCTCTCCTCTCTCCCCCTCACTCCTCCTCTCTCCCCCTCACTCCTCTCTCCCCCTCACTCCTCTCTCCTCCTCTCCTCCCCTCCCTTCCTCTCTCCTCCCTCCTCCTCTCCTCTCTCCCCCTCACTCCTCCTCTCTCCCCCTCACTCCTCTCTCCCCCTCACTCCTCTCTCCTCCTCTCCTCCCCTCCCTTCCTCTCTCCCCCTCTCCTCTCTCCTCCTCCTCCTCTCTGCTCCTCCTGTGGCCATGTTGTGTCTGCTCCTCCACATAAACAATTGTGTGTAATCTGTGCTGATTACAGAGGAGGCCGCAGTGAGACCGGCCCCTGTTTACAGACCACACGCAAGCGGCTATGGACGCCCAAGACGCAGCTACGGCACTGATTATGGCTCAGGCTGAAATCATGGGTTCTGGAACAAGAGAGACCAGAGAGAGAGACCAGAGAGAGAGACCAGAGAGAGAGACCAGAGAGAGAGACCAGAGAGAGAGAGACCAGAGAGAGAGAGAGACCAGAGAGAGAGAGAGACCAGAGAGAGAGAGACCAGAGAGAGAGAGACCAGAGAGAGAGAGACCAGAGAGAGAGACCAGAGAGAGAGACCAGAGAGAGAGAGAGACCAGAGGGAGAGACCAGAGAGAGAGACCAGAGAGAGACCATAATCTGCCCCAAACCTTCTCTAAAATTGTTTTTACATTATTTTTGTATGTACAGTCTAAAAGGAAACAGAAATGGAAATGTTTGAAACAGGGTGTTCAGACAGAAGGGGCGGGGGGATGTGTTCTCTCCTGCTGTTCCTCACACACACCTGCAGGGGGCGTCCTTGCTCTTCCCTCCTGCCTCTCACCTCCCTCTGCTCCAGCTGCTGCCCTTCTGTCCCCACTGTCAATACAGCTCCCACAGGAGGAGGAGGGGCCAAAGAGAGGGACATGTGAGGACATATAGAGAGACATGTGAGGACATATAGAGAGACGTGTGAGGACATAGAGAAAGAGACATGTGAGGACATATAGAGAGAGACATGTGATGACATATAGAGAGACATGTGAGGACATATAGAGAGAGACATGTGAGGACATATAGAGAGAGACATGTGAGGACATATAGAGAGACATGTGAGGACATAGAGAGACATGTGAGGACATATAGAGAGACATGTGACGACATATAGAGAGACATGTGAGGACATATAGAGAGACATGTGACGACATATAGAGAGAGACATGTGAGGACATATAGAGAGACATGTGACGACATATAGAGAGACATGTGAGGACATATAGAGAGACATGTGAGGACATATAGAGAGAGACATGTGAGGACATATAGAGAGAGACATGTGAGGACATATAGAGAGAGACATGTGAGGACATATAGAGAGACATGTGACGACATATAGAGAGAGACATGTGAGGACATATAGAGAGACATGTGAGGGCATATAGAGACATTTGAGGACATATAGAGAGAGACATGTGAGGACATATAGAGAGACATGTGAGGACATATAGAGAGAGACATGTGAGGACATATAGAGAGAGACATGTGAGGACATATAGAGAGAGACATGTGAGGACATATAGAGAGAGACATGTGAGGACATATAGAGAGACATGTGACGACATATAGAGAGACATGTGAGGACATATAGAGAGACATGTGACGACATATAGAGAGAGACATGTGAGGACATATAGAGAGACATGTGACGACATATAGAGAGACATGTGAGGACATATAGAGAGACATGTGAGGACATATAGAGAGACATGTGAGGACATAGAGAGAGACATGTGAGGACATAGAGAGAGAGACATGTGAGGACATATAGAGAGAGACATGTGAGGACATATAGAGAGAGACATGTGAGGACATATAGAGAGACATGTGAGGGCATATAGAGACATTTGAGGACATATAGAGAGAGACATGTGAGGACATATAGAGAGACATGTGATGACATATAGAGAGACATGTGAGGACATATAGAGAGAGACATGTGAGGACATATAGAGAGAGACATGTGAGGACATATAGAGAGACATGTGAGGACATAGAGAGACATGTGAGGACATATAGAGAGAGACATGTGAGGACATATAGAGAGACATGTGAGGACATAGAGAGACATGTGAGGACATAGAGAGAGAGACATGTGAGGACATATAGAGAGACATGTGAGGACATATAGAGAGACATGTGAGGACATATAGAGAGACATGTGGGGACATAGAGAGAGACATGTGAGGACATAGAGAGAGAGACATGTGAGGACATATAGAGAGAGACATGTGAGGACATATAGAGAGAGACATGTGAGGACATATAGAGAGACATGTGAGGGCATATAGAGACATTTGAGGACATATAGAGAGAGACATGTGAGGACATATAGAGAGACATGTGAGGACATATAGAGAGAGACATGTGAGGACATATAGAGAGACATGTGACGACATATAGAGAGAGACATGTGAGGACATATAGAGAGACATGTGACGACATATAGAGAGACATGTGAGGACATATAGAGAGACATGTGAGGACATATAGAGAGAGACATGTGAGGACATATAGAGAGAGACATGTGAGGACATATAGAGAGAGACATGTGAGGACATATAGAGAGACATGTGACGACATATAGAGAGAGACATGTGAGGACATATAGAGAGACATGTGACGACATATAGAGAGACATGTGAGGACATATAGAGAGACATGTGAGGACATATAGAGAGACATGTGAGGACATAGAGAGAGACATGTGAGGACATAGAGAGAGAGACATGTGAGGACATATAGAGAGAGACGTGTGAGGACATATAGAGAGAGACATGTGAGGACATATAGAGAGACATGTGAGGACATATAGAGAGACATGTGAGGACATATAGAGAGACATGTGAGGACATAGAGAGAGAGACATGTGAGGACATATAGAGAGAGACATGTGAGGACATATAGAGAGAGACATGTGAGGACATATAGAGAGACATGTGAGGGCATATAGAGACATTTGAGGACATATAGAGAGAGACATGTGAGGACATATAGAGAGAGACATGTGAGGACATATAGAGAGACATGTGACGACATATAGAGAGAGACATGTGAGGACATATAGAGAGAGACATGTGACGACATATAGAGAGAGACATGTGAGGACATATAGAGAGACATGTGACGACATATAGAGAGAGACATGTGAGGACATATAGAGAGACATGTGACGACATATAGAGAGACATGTGAGGACATATAGAGAGACATGTGAGGACATATAGAGAGACATGTGAGGACATAGAGAGAGACATGTGAGGACATAGAGAGAGAGACATGTGAGGACATATAGAGAGAGACATGTGAGGACATATAGAGAGAGACATGTGAGGACATATAGAGAGACATGTGACGACATATAGAGAGAGACATGTGAGGACATATAGAGAGACATGTGACGACATATAGAGAGACATGTGAGGACATATAGAGAGACATGTGAGGACATATAGAGAGACATGTGAGGACATAGAGAGAGACATGTGAGGACATAGAGAGAGAGACATGTGAGGACATATAGAGAGAGACATGTGAGGACATATAGAGAGAGACATGTGAGGACATATAGAGAGACATGTGAGGGCATATAGAGACATTTGAGGACATATAGAGAGAGACATGTGAGGACATATAGAGAGAGACATGTGAGGACATATAGAGAGACATGTGACGACATATAGAGAGACATGTGAGGACATAGAGAGAGAGACATGTGAGGACATATAGAGAGAGACATGTGAGGACATATAGAGAGAGACATGTGAGGACATATAGAGAGACATGTGAGGGCATATAGAGACATTTGAGGACATATAGAGAGAGACATGTGAGGACATATAGAGAGAGACATGTGAGGACATATAGAGAGACATGTGACGACATATAGAGAGAGACATGTGAGGACATATAGAGAGAGACATGTGACGACATATAGAGAGAGACATGTGAGGACATATAGAGAGACATGTGACGACATATAGAGAGAGACATGTGAGGACATATAGAGAGACATGTGACGACATATAGAGAGACATGTGAGGACATATAGAGAGACATGTGAGGACATATAGAGAGACATGTGAGGACATAGAGAGAGACATGTGAGGACATAGAGAGAGAGACATGTGAGGACATATAGAGAGAGACATGTGAGGACATATAGAGAGAGACATGTGAGGACATATAGAGAGACATGTGACGACATATAGAGAGAGACATGTGAGGACATATAGAGAGACATGTGACGACATATAGAGAGACATGTGAGGACATATAGAGAGACATGTGAGGACATATAGAGAGACATGTGAGGACATAGAGAGAGACATGTGAGGACATAGAGAGAGAGACATGTGAGGACATATAGAGAGAGACATGTGAGGACATATAGAGAGAGACATGTGAGGACATATAGAGAGACATGTGAGGGCATATAGAGACATTTGAGGACATATAGAGAGAGACATGTGAGGACATATAGAGAGAGACATGTGAGGACATATAGAGAGACATGTGACGACATATAGAGAGAGACATGTGAGGACATATAGAGAGAGACATGTGACGACATATAGAGAGAGACATGTGAGGACATATAGAGAGACATGTGACGACATAGAGAGAGACATGTGAGGACATATAGAGAGACGTGTGTGTGTGTGTGTGTCTCTGTGTGTGTGTGTGTATGTGTGTGTGTCACCAGTCCGCACACACACATCCCCATATGAGCAGCTGCTGAGGACTCTGTGTGGCTCAGATACCGACTGTTCCAGACATGTTCTCTGTGGTTCATACTCGGACACACAGAGACACACACACACACACACAACACACACGCTCACACATACACATACACACACACGCTCACACACACACACACATCCAAACACACACACACGCACAGACACAGACACACGCGCACACACGGACACACACAAACACACACACGCACAGACACACACACACGGACACACACAAACACACACACACAGGGCCATGTTACAGTAACTAAACCCTGGGTATCGGCTGCAGACGTCTGTTGCAGAGGTCACATCTCCTCCTGTTGTAATCATAGACTGTTTATAGGACCATGCTAACGCTAGCTCTACTCTCCCTCAGTCTCTCATGGAAAAGAGAGACACCCATCCGTGGTTAGACTCACTCTGATCCTGGTGAGTCCAAACAACGGACCAATGAAGTGTCTTTAAGCAGAAGCCCTTTGATTGGCTCTGAGGTCTCTCTCTGGTCTCTCTCCCTGGTCTCTCTCTGGTCTCTCTCTGGTCTCTCTCTCTGGTCTCTCTCTGGTCTTTCTCTGGTCTCTCTCTGGTCTTTCTCTGGTCTCTCTCTGGTCTCTCTCTCTGGTCTCACTCTCTGGTCTCTCTCTCTGGTCTCTCTCTCTGGTCTCTCTCTCTGGTCTCTCTCTCTGGTCTCTCTCTCTGGTCTCTCTCTCTGGTCTCTCTCTCTGGTCTCACTCTCTGGTCTCTCTCTGGTCTTTCTCTGGTCTCACTCTCTGGTCTCTCTCTGGTCTCCTCGCCGTAGGTCGTCCTCGCAGTAGGTCGTCCTCGCCGTAGGTTGTCCTCGCCGTAGGTCGTCCTCGCCGTAGGTCGTCCTCGCCGTAGGTCGTCCTCGCAGTAGGTCGTCCTCGCAGTAGGTCGTCCTCGCCGTAGGTCGTCCTCGCCGTAGGTCGTCCTCGCAGTAGGTCGTCCTCGCCGTAGGTCGTCCTCGCAGTAGGTCGTCCTCGCAGTAGGTCGTCCTTGCCGTAGGTCGTCCTCGCCGTAGGTCGTCCTCGCCGTAGGTCGTCCTCGCAGTAGGTCGTCCTCGCCGTAGGTCGTCCTCGCCGTAGGTCGTCTTCGCAGTAGGTCGTCCTCGCAGTAGGTCGTCCTCGCCGTAGGTCGTCCTCACAGTAGGTCGTCCTCACCGTAGGTCGTCCTCGCAGTAGGTCGTCCTCGCAGTAAGTCGTCCTCGCCGTAGGTCGTCCTCGCCGTAGGTCGTCTTTGCCGTAGGTCGTTTTCGCCGTAGGTCGTCCTCGCCGTTGCCTCGGAGAACGTAGCGATGAGGTCAGATGGCGAGAGATAAAAGCTCTGTTTCCTAAACATCCACAGACGATCAAATGTCAACCTCTGTGCCCCAAAGACAGCTGCAGGAGGAGGGTACACACTTACACACACACAGACACAGAGACACACACACACACACACACATACACACACACACACACATACACACGGAGACACACACACACAGAGACACACAGACACACACACAGTCCTTCTACAGGCCCCGGAAACCACCCCAGGACTGATCCGTCTGGGACCCTCTGGACAGTGGTGTGTAAGTGTGGGTCTTTAGCAGAGACTGTAAAGGATCTCCCCCTCCCTCCCCCACACTGCCCCCCCCCCCCTCCACACTCCCCCCCCCCTCCACACTCCCTCCCTCCCCCCCCCCCCCCACCACACTCCCTCCCCCCCCCCCCACCACACTACCTCCCCCTCCACACTCCCCCCCCCCCCCCACCACTCCCCCTCCACACTCCCCCCCCCCCCCACCACACTACCTCCCCCACCACACTCCCCCCCCCCTCCACACTCCCTCCACCACACTCCCCCCCCCCCACCACACTCCCTCCCCCCCCCCCCCCACACTACCTCCCCCTCCACACTCCCCCCCCCCCCCACCACTCCCCCTCCACACTCCCCCCCCCCCCCACCACACTACCTCCCCCACCACACTCCCCCCCCCCTCCACACTCCCTCCACCACACTCCCCCCCCCCCCCTCCACACTCCCTCCACCACACTCCCCCCCGGGTCCCATTCCAGAGCAGGACCAGTGCGACACAAAGGCGCAGCTCAGACCCAGAGGAAACCAGAGACTTTCCTCAGACTGGATTCTATCGATAAATGTTACTCACAGTTTTACACTTTTTTGTTTATTTTATTATTTATTATTTATGTTGCAATTATTCATGTTCTTGTTTTCCTCTTCACTCTCTTTGTCTTTTCTTTCCCTTTTTCTTCTCACAGCTGTGTTTACAGAAACCTGGCCTGATTTATATGATTTTTTATCAATTAATTTAGAGTGATAACAGTAGAAAATGACTGCTCTGTGTTCTGGGAGTGTTCTGGGAGTGTACTGGGAGTGTTCTGGGAGTGTTCTGTGAGTGTTCTGGGAGTGTTCTGGGAGTGTCCTGGGAGTGTTCTGGGAGTGTCCTGGGAGTGTCCTGGGAGTGTCCTGGGAGTGTTCTGGGAGTGTACTGGGAGCGTTCTGGGAGTGTTCTGGGAGTGTCCTGGGAGTGTTCTGGGAGTGTTTTGGGAGTGTACTAGGAGCGTTCTGGGAGTGTTCTGGGAGTGTCCTGGGAGTGTCCTGGGAGTGTCCTGGGAGTGTTCTGGGAGTGTTCTGGGAGTGTACTGGGAGTGTACTGGGAGTGTTCTGGGAGTGTTCTGGGAGTGTTCTGGGAGTGTACTGGGAGTGTTCTGGGAGTGTTCTGGGAGTGTTCTGGGAGTGTCCTGGGAGTGTTCTGGGAGTGTCCTGGGAGTGTTCTGGGAGTGTTCTGTGTTCCGGGAGTGTTCCGGGAGTGTACCGGGAGTGTTCCGGGAGTGTTCTTCTGGGAGTGTACCGGGAGTGTTCTGGGAGTGTTCTGGGAGTGTACTGGGAGTGTTCTGGGAGTGTCCTGGGAGTGTTCTGGGAGTGTCCTGGGAGTGTTCTGGGAGTGTTCTGTGTTCTGGGAGTGTACTGGGAGTGTACTGGGAGTGTTCTGGGAGTGTTCTGTGTTCTGGGAGTGTTCTATGTTCTGGGAGTGTTCTATGTTCTGGGCGTGTTCTGGGAGTGTTCTGGGAGTATTCTGGGAGTGTTCTGGGAGTGTTCTGGGAGTGTACTGGGAGTGTTCTGGGAGTGTACCGGGAGTGTTCTGGGAGTGTTCTGGGAGTGTACTGGGAGTGTTCTGGGAGTGTACTGGGAGTGTTCTGGGAGTGTTCTGTGTTCTGGGAGTGTTCTATGTTCTGGGCGTGTTCTGGGAGTGTTCTGGGAGTATTCTGGGAGTGTTCTGTGAGTGTTCTGGGAGTGTTCTGGGAGTGTTCTGGGAGTGTTCTGGGAGTGTTCTGTGAGTGTTCTGGGAGTGTTCTGGGAGTGTCCTGGGAGTGTTCTGGGAGTGTCCTGGGAGTGTCCTGGGAGTGTTCTGGGAGTGTACTGGGAGCGTTCTGGGAGTGTTCTGGGAGTGTCCTGGGAGTGTTCTGGGAGTGTTTTGGGAGTGTACTGGGAGCGTTCTGGGAGTGTTCTGGGAGTGTCCTGGGAGTGTCCTGGGAGTGTCCTGGGAGTGTTCTGGGAGTGTTCTGGGAGTGTACTGGGAGTGTACTGGGAGTGTACTGGGAGTGTTCTGGGAGTGTTCTGGGAGTGTTCTGGGAGTGTACTGGGAGTGTTCTGGGAGTGTTCTGGGAGTGTTCTGTGTTCCGGGAGTGTTCCGGGAGTGTACCGGGAGTGTTCCGGGAGTGTTCTTCTGGGAGTGTACCGGGAGTGTTCTGGGAGTGTTCTGGGAGTGTACTGGGAGTGTTCTGGGAGTGTCCTGGGAGTGTTCTGGGAGTGTCCTGGGAGTGTTCTGGGAGTGTTCTGTGTTCTGGGAGTGTACTGGGAGTGTACTGGGAGTGTTCTGGGAGTGTTCTGTGTTCTGGGAGTGTTCTATGTTCTGGGAGTGTTCTATGTTCTGGGCGTGTTCTGGGAGTGTTCTGGGAGTATTCTGGGAGTGTTCTGGGAGTGTTCTGGGAGTGTTCTGGGAGTGTACTGGGAGTGTTCTGGGAGTGTACCGGGAGTGTTCTGGGAGTGTTCTGGGAGTGTACTGGGAGTGTTCTGGGAGTGTACTGGGAGTGTTCTGGGAGTGTTCTGTGTTCTGGGAGTGTTCTATGTTCTGGGCGTGTTCTGGGAGTGTTCTGGGAGTGTTCTGGGAGTATTCTGGGAGTGTTCTGGGAGTGTTCTGGGAGTGTTCTGGGAGTGTACTGGGAGTGTACTGGGAGTGTTCTGGGAATGTTCTGTGTTCTGGGAGTATTCTGGGAGTGTTCTGGGAGTGTTTTGGGAGTGTACTAGGAGTGTTCTGGGAGTGTTCTAGGAGTGTTCTGGGAGTGTTCTGGGAGTGTTCTGGGAGTGTTCTGTGTTCTGGGAGTGTTCTGGGAGTGTTCTGGGAGTGTACCGGGAGTGTTCTGGGAGTGTTCTTCTGGGAGTGTTCTGGGAGTGTTCTGGGAGTGTTCTGTGTTCTGGGAGTGTTCTGGGAGTGTTCTGGGAGTGTTCTGTGTTCTGGGAGTGTTCTGGGAGTGTTCTGGGAGTGTACCGGGAGTGTTCTGGGAGTGTTCTTCTGGGAGTGTTCTGGGAGTGTTCTGGGAGTGTTCTTCTGGGAGTGTTCTGGGAGTGTTCTGGGAGTGTTCTGGGAGTGTTCTGGGAGTGTACCTGCTCCTCGTGTGAATCTTTTTGATCCAAACGTGTGACTTTTCTATGAAAACAGTTTATTTCTGTCATTACTTTTATGAAACATTGGTTATCTTTGAAACGTGAAGAACTGCAGTTGAACTCCCAGAGCAGTCACCATGGCAACACACGGTCTACTGCTAGCATTAGCATTAGCTTTGGCCTTAGCATTAGCTTTAGCGTTAGCATTAGCCTGTCAACAAACTGGTTTGTGCTGTATTTAGAGTTAGAATCGACAGTTTCACTGATGAGAGTGTTGCAGGTCTCTGTCCTGAAGTCCTCTCACATTAGTCCTGGTCTCAAGTCTCTGTCCTGAAGTCCTCTCACATTAGTCCTGGTCTCAGGTCTCTGTCCTGAAGTCCTCTCACATTAGTCCTGGTCTCAGGTCTCTGTCCTGATGTCCTCTCACATTAGTCCTGGTCTCAGGTCTCTGTCCTGAAGTCCTCTCACATTAGTCCTGGTCTCAGGTCTCTGTCCTGAAGTCCTCTCACATTAGTCCTGGTCTCAGGTCTCTGTCCTGAAGTCCTCTCACATTAGTCCTGGTCTCAGGTCTCTGTCCTGATGTCCTCTCACATTAGTCCTGGTCTCAGGTCTCTGTCCTGAAGTCCTCTCACATTAGTCCTGGTCTCAGGTCTCTGTCCTGAAGTCCTCTCACATTAGTCCTGGTCTCAGGTCTCTGTCCTGAAGTCCTCTCACATTAGTCCTGGTCTCAGGTCTCTGTCCTGATGTCCTCTCACATTAGTCCTGGTCTCAGGTCTCTGTCCTGATGTCCTCTCACATTAGTCCTGGTCTAGTCCAGACCTGGTGTCACGTGTCTCAGGTTTTTAGTCTCCTCCCACAGAGGTTGTCTCTGGTCTTTCCTCTGGTCCCAGAGTTTGGACCTGATCTGGACCTGGGCACAGACCTCTGTCCCTGCTCCAAAACCACAGTCTGGACCTGGACTGCACCTGGTCTGGACCTGGACTGGACCTAGACTGGACCTGGACTGGACCTGGACTGGACCTGGACTGGATCCACTGAGGCTTCTGTGAGATCTTCTGTTTGGATTATTGAGGATCTGGGAACCTTTAGTTTGGTACGTGTTATTTATTTAGGCTCAAAAACACAGGTGCTGTAGACACAGGTGCTGTACACACAGGTGCTGTAGGCACAGGTGTTGTAGACACAGGTGCTGTAGGCACAGGTGCTGTAGGCACAGGTGCTGTAGGCACAGGTGCTCTAGGCACAGGTGCTGTAGGCACAGGTGCTGTAGACACAGGTGCTGTAGGCACAGGTACTGTAGACACAGGTGCTGTAGGCACAGGTGCTCTAGGCACAGGTGCTCTAGGCACAGGTGCTCTAGGCACAGGTGCTGTACACACAGGTGCTTTACACACAGGTTCTGTAGACACAGGTGCTGTAGCCACAGGTGCTGTAGACACAGGTGCTGTAGACACAGGTGTTGTAGCCACAGGTGCTGTAGACACAGGTGCTGTAGCCACAGGTGCTGTAGCCACAGGTGCTGTAGACACAGGTGCTGTAGACACAGGTGTTGTAGCCACAGGTGCTGTAGACACAGGTGCTGTAGCCACAGGTGCTGTAGACACAGGTGCTGTCGGCACAGGTGTTGTAGCCACAGGTGCTTTAGACACAGGTGCTGTAGACACAGGTGCTGTAGACACAGGTGTTGTAGCCACAGGTGTTGTAGCCACAGGTGCTGTAGACACAGGTGTTGTAGCCACAGGTGCTGTAGACACAGGTGTTGTAGCCACAGGTGTTGTAGCCACAGGTGCTGTAGACACAGGTGCTGTAGGCACAGGTGCTGTAGACACAGGTGCTGTACGCACAGGTGCTGTAGGCACAGGTGCAGTACACACAGGTGCTGTACACACAGGTGCTTTACACACAGGTGCTGTCGACACAGGTGCTGTAGACACAGGTGCTGTAGCCACAGGTGCTGTAGACACAGGTGCTGTAGCCACAGGTGCTGTAGCCACAGGTGCTGTAGACACAGGTGCTGTCGGCACAGGTGTTGTAGACACAGGTGCTGTAGCCACAGGTGCTGTAGACACAGGTGCTGTAGCCACAGGTGCTGTAGACACAGGTGCTGTCGGCACAGGTGTTGTAGCCACAGGTGCTTTAGACACAGGTGCTGTAGACACAGGTGCTGTAGACACAGGTGTTGTAGCCACAGGTGTTGTAGCCACAGGTGTTGTAGACACAGGTGCTGTAGCCACAGGTGCTGTAGCCACAGGTGTTGTAGCCACAGGTGCTGTAGACACAGGTGCAGACCTGCAGTTGTGTTTAGGTCTGTCCATGCTCACAGCAGGAGCCTGTAGCTCCGCCCCTTTCTGTCTCACAGGACACATTCATCTTTGGAGATTATGAAGAAACTTCACTGAGCTGCTCATACAGGGCAGCCCAGGAATTTACAGGAACTGGAGGGTGTGTGCCATTAGGAATGGGCAGATCAGAGACCAGAGAGAGACCAGAGAGAGAGACCAGAGAGAGAGACCAGAGAGAGACCAGAGAGAGACCAGAGAGAGACCAGAGAGAGACCAGAGAGAGACCAGAGAGAGACCAGAGAGAGACCAGAGAGAGACCAGAGAGAGACCAGAGAGAGAGACCAGAGAGAGAACAGAGAGAGAGACCAGAGAGGGACCAGAGAGAGAGACCAGAGAGAGACCAGAGAGAGACCAGAGAGAGACCAGAGAGAGAGACCAGAGAGAGACCAGAGAGAGACCAGAGAGAGAACAGAGAGAGACCAGAGAGAGACCAGAGAGAGAGACCAGAGAGAGAGACCAGAGAGAGAGACCAGAGAGAGACCAGAGAGAGACCAGAGAGAGACCAGAGAGAGACCAGAGAGAGACCAGAGAGAGACCAGAGAGAGACCAGAGAGAGACCAGAGAGAGAGACCAGAGAGAGAAGAGAGAGAGAGAGAGACCAGAGAGAGAGACCAGAGAGAGACCAGAGAGAGACCAGAGAGAGACCAGAGAGAGACCAGAGAGAGAGACCAGAGAGAGAACAGAGAGAGACCAGAGAGAGACCAGAGAGAGAGACCAGAGAGAGACCAGAGAGAGACCAGAGAGAGAGACCAGAGAGAGACCAGAGAGAGACCAGAGAGAGACCAGAGAGAGACCAGAGAGAGACCAGAGAGAGACCAGAGAGAGACCAGAGAGAGACCAGAGAGAGACCAGAGAGAGAGACCAGAGAGAGACCACAGAGAGAGACCAGAGAGAGACCAGAGAGAGAGACCAGAGAGAGAGACCAGAGAGAGACCAGAGAGAGACCTGAGAGAGACCAGAGAGAGACCAGAGAGAGACCAGAGAGAGAGACCAGAGAGAGACCAGAGAGAGACCAGAGAGAGACCAGAGAGAGACCAGAGAGAGACCAGAGAGAGACCAGAGAGAGACCAGAGAGAGAGACCAGAGAGAGACCAGAGAGAGAGACCAGAGAGAGACCAGAGAGAGACTGTGAAGTGGATCATGTGGAGTCTCATGTTTATGTGTCTTGACGTTGGTTTCTCTCGTTCCTCTCTCTCCTCGAGGCTCGGAGGTTATTTCCACTGATGACATCACTTCCTGTTAGAGAAAGTTTCAGTCTCTCGCTCAGGACCTTCCGCTCCTGTCTCGGTCCCGTCCACAAACTGGACACAGCTGTTTGTGAATAATTGATGGTTCTTATTTGTCGCTGCAGACGGCCTTTGAGAGAGCGAGACCATGTGAGCTGAGCTCTGAATGCGGCGTCACCAGATCCTGTTGTTTCTGACTGAGGCTGTGGAAACGTGCCGATGGCGTTTGTCACGGCGACATGCAGCGCCACGGTGTCGTGTTGCAGTTTGATCAGAGTTTCTTTGGCTTCGAGTCCAGAGACGGATTTTCAGATGTTAAATCATCGATGTCTGAACTTTTGTGGGAGAAACTTTGCCGCCGCACAAACCTCTGTCATGTCTGAAGGTTGTCATTAATACTTCATTTTTAGGTCTTCGTTCGGACACAGTCTCTATTTTCAAGGCTAGACTAAAACAGTTTAGTTTAGCATGGTTTGGAAGGCTAAACTCCTTAGACTGTCAGTCAAGCTGCCTAGGGAGCCCCCTGCTGGAGAACAGACTGTAGTCTGTTCATTGCTATTCACCCATTGTCCCATTATCTGTTTCATGGTGGGACCTCTGAACCTGGCCTCCGCATCTACACCTGCGGACTGCCCTGCTGGTGGTCTCTCCCTATGGTCCAATACCATGTGGTCTCTCCCCATGGTCCAATACCATGTGGTCTCTCCCTATGGTCCAATACCATGTGGTCTCTCCCTATGGTCCAATACCATGTGGTCTCTCCCTATGGTCCAATACCATGTGGTCCCTCCCTATGGTCCAATACCATGTGGTCTCTCCCTATGGTCCAATACCATGTGGTCTCTCTCTATGGTCCAATACCATGTGGTCTCTCCCTATGGTCCAATACCATGTGGTCCCTCCCTATGGTCCAATACCATGTGGTCTCTCCCCATGGTCCAATACCATGTGGTCTCTCCCTATGGTCCAATACCATGTGGTCTCTCCCTATGGTCCAATACCATGTGGTCTCTCCCTATGGTCCAATACCATGTGGTCTCTCCCTATGGTCCAATACCATGTGGTCTCTCCCCATGGTCCAATACCATGTGGTCTCTCCCTATGGTCCAATACCATGTGGTGTCTCCCTATGGTCCAATACAATGTGGTCTCTCCCCATGGTCCAATACCATGTGGTCTTTCCCTATGGTCCAATACCATGTGGTCTCTCCCTATGGTTCAATACCATGTGGTCTCTCCCTATGGTCCAATACCATGTGGTCTCTCCCTATGGTTCAATACCATGTGGTCTCTCCCTATGGTCCAATACCATGTGGTCTCTCCCTATGGTCCAATACCATGTAGTCTCTCTCTATGGTCTCTCCCTATGGTCCAATACCATGTGGTCTCTCCCTATGGTCCAATACCATGTGGTCTCTCCCTATGGTTCAATACCATGTGGTCTCTCCCTATGGTCCAATACCATGTGGTCTCTTCCTATGGTCCAATACCATGTGGTCTCTCTCTATGGTCTCTCCCTATGGTCCAATACCATGTGGTCTCTCTCTATGGTCTCTCCCTATGGTCCAATACCATGTGGTCTCTCCCTATGGTCCAATACCATGTGGTCCCTCCCTATGGTCCAATACCATGTGGTCTCTCCCTATGGTCCAATACCATGTGGTCTCTCCCCATGGTCCAATACCATGTGGTCTCTCCCTATGGTAAGTAAGTTTTTAGTAAGTAAGTCTCTCCCTATGGTCCAATACCATGTGGTCTCTCTCTATGGTCTCTCCCTATGGTCCAATACCATGTGGTCTCTCCCTATGGTTCAATACCATGTGGTCTCTCCCTATGGTCCAATACCATGTGGTCTCTCCCTATGGTCCAATACCATGTAGTCTCTCTCTATGGTCTCTCCCTATGGTCCAATACCATGTGGTCTCTCCCTATGGTCCAATACCATGTGGTCTTTCCCTATGGTCCAATACCATGTGGTCTCTCCCCATGGTCCAATACCATGTGGTCTCTCCCTATGGTCCAATACCATGTGGTCTCTCCCTATGGTCCAATACAATGTGGTCTCTCCCCATGGTCCAATACCATGTGGTCTTTCCCTATGGTCCAATACCATGTGGTCTCTCTCTATAGTTCAATACCATGTGGTCTCTCCCTATGGTTCAATACCATGTGGTCTCTCCCTATGGTCCAATACCATGTGGTCTCTCCCTATGGTCCAATACCATGTGGTCTCTCTCTCTGGTCTCTCCCTATGGTCCAATACCATGTGGTCTCTCCCTATGGTCCAATACCATGTGGTCTCTCCCTATGGTTCAATACCATGTGGTCTCTCCCTATGGTCCAATACCATGTGGTCTCTCCCTATGGTTCAATACCATGTGGTCTCTCCCTATGGTCCAATACCATGTGGTCTCTCCCTATGGTCCAATACCATGTGGTCTCTCTCTATGGTCTCTCCCTATGGTCCAATACCATGTGGTCTCTCCCTATGGTTCAATACCATGTGGTCTCTCCCTATGGTCCAATACCATGTGGTCTCTCCCTATGGTTCAATACCATGTGGTCTCTCCCTATGGTCCAATACCATGTGGTCTCTCTCTATGGTCTCTCCCTATGGTCCAATACCATGTGGTCTCTCCCTATGGTCCAATACCATGTGGTCTCTCTCTATGGTCTCTCCCTATGGTCCAATACCTTGTGGTCTCTCCCTATGGTCCAATACCATGTGGTCTCTCCCTATGGTCCAATACCATGTGGTCTCTCCCTATGGTTCAATACCATGTGGTCTCTCCCTATGGTCCAATACCATGTGGTCTCTCTCTATGGTCTCTCCCTATGGTCCAATACCATGTGGTCTCTCTCTATGGTCTCTCCCTATGGTCCAATACCTTGTGGTCTCTCCCTATGGTCCAATACCATGTGGTCTCTCCCTATGGTCCAATACCATGTGGTCTCTCTCTATGGTCTCTCCCTATGGTCCAATACCTTGTGGTCTCTCCCTATGGTCCAATACCATGTGGTCTCTCCCTATGGTCCAATACCATGTGGTCTCTCTCTATGGTCTCTCCCTATGGTCCAATACCATGTGGTCTCTCCCTATGGTCCAATACCATGTGGTCTCTCCCTATGGTCCAATACCATGTGGTCTCTCTCTATGGTCTCTCCCTATGGTCCAATACCATGTGGTCTCTCCCTATGGTCCAATACCATGTGGTCTCGTTGTTGTATTTGAGGACTAACCCCACAACACTGATTTAAGAAACTCCCTCAGATCAGTGTTTCCAGAAGAGAATCTGGCCTTTTCTGTTCCACGGCTGCCTCCACCACTGGGCAACGGACAAAGCGGCAGAGGGCATTGACATGAGCAGTGTCTGTGAATGTGACGAATAAAGTTGTGTTGATTGAATGTCAGTGACGCTCTGATCCGTCTGTTTCTCCTCAGAGCAGGACGAGGAGTGTTCTCAGCCATGAAGCTCAGCAGGGTCAGGAGCCCCCGGGACGAGAGAGCACACAGGAGAGGTGAGAGCACACAGGAGAGAGCACACAAGAGAGAGTACACAGGAGAGAGTACACAGGAGAGAGCACACAGGAGAGGTGAGAGCACACAGGAGAGAGTACACAGGAGAGGTGAGAGCACACAGGAGAGAGCACACAGGAGAGAGTACACAGGAGAGAGCACACAGGAGAGGTGAGAGCACACAGGAGAGAGTACACAGGAGAGGTGAGAGCACACAGGAGAGAGTACACAGGAGAGAGTACACAGGAGAGGTGAGAGCACACAGGAGAGAGTACACAGAAGAGGTGAGAGAACACAGGAGGGAGCACACAGGAGGGAGCACACAGGAGAGGTGAGAGCACACAGGAGAGAGTACACAGGAGAGGTGAGAGCACACAGGAGAGAGTACACAGAAGAGAGTACACAGGAGAGGTGAGAGAACACAGGAGGGAGCACACAGGAGAGGTGAGAGTACACAGGAGAGGTGAGAGCACACAGGAGAGAGTACACAGGAGAGGTGAGAGCACACAGGAGAGAGCACACAAGAGAGAGTACACAGGAGAGGTGAGAGCACACAGGAGAGAGCACACAAGAGAGCGTACACAGGAGAGAGCACACAGGAGAGAGCACACAGGAGAGAGTACACAGGAGAGGTGAGAGCACACAGGAGAGAGTACACAGGAGAGAGCACACAAGAGAGAGTACACAGGAGAGAGCACACAGGAGAGAGTACACAGGAGAGGTGAGAGCACACAGGAGAGAGCACACAGGAGAGGTGAGAGCACACAGGAGAGAGTACACAGGAGAGGTTAGAGCACACAGGAGAGAGTACACATGAGAGGTGAGAGCACACAGGAGAGAGCACACAGGAGAGATGAGAGCACACAGGAGAGAGCGCATAGGAGAGAGTACACAGGAGAGGTTAGAGCACACAGGAGAGAGTACACAGGAGAGGTGAGAGCACACAGGAGAGAGCACACAGGAGAGATGAGAGCACACAGGAGAGAGCGCATAGGAGAGAGTACACAGGAGAGGTGAGAGCACACAGGAAAGGTGAGAGTACACAGGAGAGGTGAGAGTACACAGGAGAGGTGAGAGCACACAGGAGAGAGCACACAGGAGAGGTGAGAGCACACAGGAGAGAGCACACAGGAGAGGTGAGAGCACACAGGAGAGAGCACACAAGAGAGAGTACACAGGAGAGAGCACATAGGAGAGGTGAGAGCACACAGGAGAGGTGAGAGTACACAGGACAGGTGAGAGTACAAAGGAGAGAGCACACAGGAAAGGAGTACACAGGAGAGGTGAGAGCACACAGGAGAGAGCACACAGGAGAGGTGAGAGCACACAGGTGAGAGCACACAGGAGAGGTGAGAGCACACAGGAGAGAGCACACAAGAGAGAGTACACAGGAGAGAGCACATAGGAGAGGTGAGAGCACACAGGAAAGGTGAGAGGCCACAGGAGAGAGTACACAGGAGAGGTGAGAGCACACAGGAGAGAGCACACAAGAGAGAGTACACAGGAGAGGTGAGAGCACACAGGAGAGAGCACACAAGAGAGCGTACACAGGAGAGAGCACACAGAAAAGAGCACACAGGAGAGAGTACACAGGAGAGAGCACACAAGAGAGAGTACACAGGAGAGAGCACACAGGAGAGAGTACACAGGAGAGAGCACACAAGAGAGAGTACACAGGAGAGAGCACACAGGAGAGAGCACACAGGAGAGAGTACACAGGAGAGAGCACACAAGAGAGAGCACACAGGAGAGAGCACACAGGAGAGGTGAGAGCACACAGGAGAGAGTACACAGGAGAGGTTAGAGCACACAGGAGAGAGTACACAGGAGAGGTGAGAGCACACAGGAGAGAGCACACAGGAGAGATTAGAGCACACAGGAGAGAGCGCATAGGAGAGAGTACACAGGAGAGGTTAGAGCACACAGGAGAGAGTACACAGGAGAGGTGAGAGCACACAGGAGAGAGCACACAGGAGAGATGAGAGCACACAGGAAAGGAGCACACAGGAAAGGTGAGAGTACACAGGAGAGGTGAGAGCACACAGGAGAGAGCACACAAGAGAGAGTACACAGGAGAGGTGAGAGCACACAGGAGAGAGCACACAAGAGAGCGTACACAGGAGAGAGCACACAGGAGAGAGCACACAGGAGAGAGTACACAGGAGAGGTGAGAGCACACAGGAGAGAGTACACAGGAGAGAGCACACAAGAGAGAGTACACAGGAGAGAGCACACAGGAGAGAGTACACAGGAGAGGTGAGAGCACACAGGAGAGACCACACAGGAGAGGTGAGAGCACACAGGAGAGAGTACATAGGAGAGTTAGAGCACACAGGAGAGAGTACACAGGAGAGGTGAGAGCACACAGGAGAGAGCACACAGGAGAGATGATAGCACACAGGAGAGAGCGCATAGGAGAGAGTACACAGGAGAGGTGAGAGCACACAGGAAAGAAGCACACAGGAAAGGTGAGAGTACACAGGAGAGGTGAGAGTACACAGGAGAGGTGAGAGCACACAGGAGAGAGCACACAGGAGAGGTGAGAGCACACAGGAGAGAGCACACAGGAGAGATGAGAGCACACAGGAGAGAGCGCATAGGAGAGAGTACACAGGAGAGGTGAGAGCACAACAGGAAAGGTGAGAGTACACAGGAGAGGTGAGAGTACACAGGAGAGGTGAGAGCACACAGGAGAGAGCACACAGGAGAGGTGAGAGCACACAGGAGAGAGCACACAGGAGAGGTGAGAGCACACAGGAGAGAGCACACAAGAGAGAGTACACAGGAGAGAGCACATAGGAGAGGTGAGAGCACACAGGAGAGGTGAGAGTACACAGGACAGGTGAGAGTACAAAGGAGAGAGCACACAGGAAAGGAGTACACAGGAGAGGTGAGAGCACACAGGAAAGGTGAGAGGCCACAGGAGAGGTGAGAGCACACAGGAAAGGAGCACACAGGAAAGGTGAGAGTACACAGGAGAGGTGAGAGTACACAGGAGAGGTGAGATTACACAGGAGAGAGTACACAGGAGAGAGCACACAGGAGAGAGCACACATGAGAGAGCACACAGGAGAGAGCACACAGGAGAGAGCACACATGAGAGAGCACACAGGAGAGAGCACACAGGAGAGGGTACACAGGAGAGAGCACACATGAGAGAGCACACAGGAGAGAGCACACAGGTGTGTGAATATAAACATGTGTCTTAAAAACAGGCTCTGATTATTTTTTAAACTGTTTAAAAAGAAATGCTCAGATTTAAAGGTTAGATATTATTTCATTCAGGAGGGTTCTGGTCCTGGGGCCTGGTTCTAGTCCTGGGGCCTGGTCCTGGGGCCTGGTCCTGGGGCCTGGTCCTGGTC